TCGCTTTTAGCTATCTTTACTAAGAACTCTTTTTAATAAAATTATAATTAATTATTAAAGCCTTATTTACCTTACGATTTATAGATATAGCTTTAGGGAAGCTATTTATGACTACGATACTATTTACTTAGTACTCGTAGCCTTAACTTCTATTAATATACTTACTACGATAAGCTAGCCGTAATACTACTACTATTAAACCGACTTTTTTTTATAAATTAATAATAGTTTAATAGCTTTATTATTAATAAAAATATACTTAATAATAAAAATCTAAGAACGCAATCTAAGCTCTTTTTTTTATATTATATTAATTTTAGTTATATTTAAAACTAGCTTATTAAATCCCTTACTCTTAAAAATACTAACCTTATTTATATTATATTTATTAACTTATTTAATATCCTTAATTTTTAATATATTAAGTAATAAGAACTAGGGCCTAAATATTTTAATAAATACTTTATTAATATATTTTAAATTTATAAAACAACTTTTTTAAATTTTAATAAATAAGTTCCGCTTTAAAAAAGTATTTATTTATCTTTTTTTAAAAAGATAATTATCTCCCTAAGCTTATAATACTTACTTAGCGAATTTTTTAACTTATTTATAAATTAGTATAATTTTTAAAGAATATTAAATATAAACTTATTTAGCTAGCCTATTTTTTTATTAAAAAAAAAGCCTTTATTAATTTATAAAAACGATTACCCTAGCTTATTAACCTTATTAATAATTCCGAAATATACTTTTTGTAATCCTAAACTTAATCGAGGCCTTTTTAATTAAAATATTACTTTTAATTACTTCGAGCACTTAAATAACTTTATTTTTAGTATATAATATTATAGTATAATAAAGAATATATATATTAAAAAGAAATTTGTTTAGACGATAATTATAATTATTATAGTAGTTTATAAATTAAGGGTAGGATTTTATTGGGGGGGCTGGGAGGGATTTTTAGGGTAGCCGAATGGGGGGGGGGGGGGTTTGGCCGAATGGGGGTGTTCCGACTTACCTTAGACACAATGCTTTTGACTGAAGCGTGGCAAGGGGACCATTGATCATGAACGGCAAACATTATGCAAATTCTTCACGACTTTGATTCTTGTGCATGCAACGTCTACGCAGCTAAGCCTACCCGGTCAAAGTCCGGTGCCCAAGCACTTCCCACGCCCGAAATGCTAATGGTGTTGGCGCCGCCGGCGGTGAAACCTGTCAACTCAACTGCGTATCCCTTAAAAACATCTGCGGACCAGTTGTACCCGCTGAGAGGAAAGCTGACCGTCTGCGCGGCGCCCCCGTTGACACTGATGGACGCCAGCCTCTCGTTATTGCTGCCTCCCAGGTACCCGACGTCACCGTTGATGTAGTCGAACAGGACGGTCTGCGTGCCGGCCTTTGACGTCGAGACGTTGGACAGCACAACGCGGCCGTTGGAGGAGCCGCCGAGGTTGCCGACCTTGTTAGAGGACGTGCAGCCGGAGCAGGACTGCAGGTTCGCGCCGGATGACAGCGAGCCGGTGGCGACGGAGACGTAGTTGTACTTCGGGCCGGCGGCGGTTGAGCGCTGGATGTTGGAGAGGCGGAGTGCGAGGGAACCGTGAGCGTTGACTTGCGCAGAGTAGCTGTTGGCGTTGGCGACTGACTTTGACGTCCAGAGGTCCTTGACCGTGGCGGAGGTGATGCCGAGATCGGCGAGCTGGACAGTCAGCGTGCGGGCCGCATTGCTCAGGTCGACGACAAGGACGGCGACATCTCCGTTGGCGAGGTCACCGGCCCAGAGGTCGCGGTTTCCTGTCCAGCGCTGAACTAGCTTGATGGGCTTGACGGCTGAGTCCTGGTTGATGGCGATAAGATCCTTGTTTTGCAAGACGGCAACGGCCTGATCAGAGAGAGCGGCAAGATTGGTGGAAATCATGAGCGCAGACTTGAGCATGGCCCAGGACGCAAAGTGAGTGGCTTGCTCGTCAAAAGTCATGCCAGTGTTGCCGACTTCGAGAAGGTCAGCATCAGCGATGTTGCCCGGCCCGACGATGCCGGACTTGACAATGTGAATAGCTTGGTTGTAGATTCGGTAAACGTTGCTCCAGCCCGTGGCAATGTCGTCTGACAGTCGGAACGAGGTCGAGATGCCCTTTGTCCATTGTGCGGGCCCTTGGAGGCCGCTGGAAGCCGAATAGGGGGTTCCCCATTGGCAAATCAGCATGCCCGGAATGCCGACTCGTTGAAGTTCTTTCCACATGACGGTGAAACGCGATACAAAATCGGTTCGCGGGTCTTTGGGCGCATTCTGCGATGAGTTGGGACCGTCCACATAGCAGTTGTCATCTGAGAGCAGATCATAGTCAGCGCATGCCGCGTAGCACTAGAGGCAAACTCGACAATTATATCTTGTATAACTCACACTTAAGATACTCTGTGTTGAGTGTCTTGAAAAAGTCGGCGTCGGCGGCTTCGTGGCCGAGTGAGCCCGCGACAGGACTCGGGACCTGGGGGTCACACATGCGCACGCCGGCGTCAGAGTACATGGTCCATTTCATGCCTTTGGACCTCGCGAGATCGCTCAAGGGCTTGAGACCCTGAGGAAACGCGGTGGCGTCGATCTTCAACGCGCCTGTTGTAGCATTTCGCTGGCCGTCTCTGGATGCCCAACCGCAGTCGATCTGGAAGTACTTGTAGCCCGCGGTGACGAAGCCTCGGTCAGCCATAGAATTGATGGCGGCTGTGATGCCGGCATTGGTCGGGCTGCAGGCGACTTGATTGTACGAATTCCATCCCATGACGGGCGTCGACTGGAAAGACTGACTCGCGGCCAGAGAGGCGCCCCCGAGGCCGAGGAGGAGGAAACTTGAGATGCCCATAATGAATGTGGAACAAGAGACTTAGACGCCCTAGCTTTGAAGACGTGCAGCGCTCGGATCCTGAAGCGATTCGATGTTACGCATTCCAATCGTCGCCTTAAATACTTTCAAGAGTCGTGAAGTCCAAAATATGGCGGCAACTCAACCGCACGATGATAGACTTGCGCGCCAATAGAGACGATGGTGGCTAGGACGCTTCAAGTTAGCGAAGCCGGCAGACTGTCGCTTTTAAGAGAGGACCTGCCGCATGGGATCTGCAATGAAACATCGTATTCATGGCGTAGGCCGGGGCTCGGATCTGGAAATGGAACCATCATCTTTGGGGTGCATACGGTCACTCCACGAGACCTACCCCATTCTGATCTAAGGTACCCGCTTCCCCACAGAGTAAATGAAGCCTTTCTAGCGTCCTTAAGTCGGGGTTGGAAAAGCGGTAGTGTCACCTGATGACGATCGACAGTAATCCTCGGGGCGTTAAGTCGCGAACAGTTGCGAACCCGCAATAGATATCCAATACAACGGTCGGTCGTTACCATCCCGGCGCTTGTGGGAACTCGGCGTCGCGTTTACGACGGGTAACGGCAGTGTGCACTCCTGAGCCCTTCCTTGATGCGCCGCGGGCCGCGGACTAGACCGGAGGGTTATCCATGCTCCCCAGAAATGGCTGACAAGCCGAGCACCGGCGAAGCCGACTCTGCGGTAGTCTCTTTGATTATGATAGCTCATTCCATCAGATCACCCAACCTGTGACCTCGTTTCTTTCTCGACACAGGGTATGAAGTCAAGTAGGTGGACTACCGCTTTAAGTAGAGATTTCCCAGTAGAGGAATGTCAAACACAATAGGTTGTCTTTCAAGCAAGGAGTGAATAGAGGAAAAAGAACAACTACAAGTCAAATCATTCAAAGAGAAATGACCGAGCGACTTGCTTGAATTCCACCTGAGTAATAGTTATCCAGCCGCGAGGAATCCCCATGCATGATTACTTCAGCCATCTTGGCGCAGTTCTTCGACCCCTCAATTACCCCTCCTAGGCTAATGTCCGATGAACTCGCATTCGCTGCTCCCTGCCTGAGTATCAATTGACTATTGCTTCTCAAGTGCGGTACTTGAACTCATTGTTTGAACGCGTCCCAATCACACATCATCCGCCATGCCGCTGTACAAGCCACCCAATCCCGGTGCACCTGTCCTTTCGCAGTTCTCGCTGAAAGGCAAGGTCGCAACCGTTACGGGAGGCGCCAGAGGCATTGGCCTCGAGATCGTTCGGGGCCTCGCCGAAGCCGGGGCTGATGTAGCTCTCATCTACGCGACCAGCAAGGATGCCGTCGAGATCGCCAGCCAAATTGCCAAGGACACAGGTGTGAACATTCGCGCTTACCAGAGCGACGTTCGGTCTCGAGCCTCAATTGCCGCCACGGTTGATCAGATTGTTCAAGACTTTGGGCACCTTGATGTCATGGTTGCAAACTCTGGCGTCTGCGCTGATATTCCCAGCCTTGAGTACACTGAGGAGACATGGAAAGACAACAATAGTGTCAACCTTGATGGTGTCATGTGGACGGCGCAGGCTGCCGGGAAGGTCTTCAAGCAACAGGGGCGTGGCAACCTCATCATTACTGCGTCAGTCAGTGCGACACTGGTCAATATTCCCCAGCGACAGGCTGCCTACAACTCTTCAAAGGCAGCCGCCGTACACCTGGCAAAGAGCCTCGCGGTAGAATGGGTAGACTTCGCAAGGGTCAACAGCGTGTCTCCGGGCTTTATTGAAACGGAGAGTGAGTGCATGGCTTGCCCTCACCTAATTCTGGAACCAGTGCTGACCTGGATTAAGTGTTGTATGTTCAACCAAAAGAACGCTTCGATAAGTGGATGGAGATGATTCCCGGCAAGCGAATGGCTGAGACATCTGAACTCAAGGGTGTAAGACAGATTGCAGTAGTGACACGGTCGTTCTACGTTTGCTAACCACGAGATATAGGTTTATGTTTTTCTGGCAAGCGATGCATGCTGCTACATGACTGGTGCTGATATCATCGTTGATGGAGGGTATACCCTGACATGAAGAGACACTAATGAATACATCTTGAACCTTTAATCTGTTTACCCTGCCCGAAACAAGCCGCTAGTCTCAAATCGCTTGGTGCTTTTCTCCAGATGAAACCGCATTTTCGCTGGTCTCAGTGACCTCATTCCCGTGAGCAACCCGCTGAACATGTGCTTCTTGTCTGTCGACGTATTTCTTGGGCCTTTTACTGGCAATCGCGTCCTTATCGCCAATAACGAAGAGAGGAGGGTTGTTGCGATAGTACTCGTCGAGGTCTTCGAGTGTTCGGTTTGCTAGCATGCGTGTTAGACGAATTTTGATCGAGATACCTCCAAGCTTGGATTTGTAATTGGCCTTTACCTGTCTCAGGATAAAAGAGGTAGATGACAGGCAGAAACGCAGCGTTTAAGACTGTAAACACGATCCAAAACTTCCATCCCAAATCTTGGATTCCGATTGGTGTGATTTGGACAATCACATAGTTCGTCATCCTGAATAATGTCAGCTGTTTCAAAACAGAACGATCAAAGACTTGCTGTACCAATTGGTGGCTGTAGCCACTGCAGCACCTTTTGTTCGCATGGCGATCGAGTTGATCTCTGTAGGGTAAAGCCAGGGAACACCCAACATTCCCAGGCCGAAGGCCATGAAGTAGAGAAAGAAGAAGACAATGGATCCCTCTGATGCTCTACGGTTTCCTCCCGGGCCACCATACCTGAGAAGAATCGTGATAACGAGAAATGCTAAGCCTTGACCGGCAGTAGATAAAAGCATCAGTCCACGCCGTCCCCATCTCTCAACTAGGGTGACGGAGACACATGAGAAGATCAGATAAGTCAGTGAATTGACAGCGGTTAGAAGACGCGCCAGCTCGTTTGATAGGCCTACGGCAGAGATCAAAACGGCCGGCATGTAATAACTCATGATGTTGATACCTGCATGCAACGATATGTCAGAGGCACTTGGCGCCATCCCTTCCAGAACCAAGATCCATCTTACCTTCAAATTGCTGCATAAATTGCGTGCCAGCCCCTAAAATGATTCTGCGCAGTGGTTTGGTCGCACCAGGATCAGGCCGCAGCAGATCTCTCCACCGGATATGATGTTCTCTTTCGTAGTCGATACTGAATCGTATCTCTTCCTTCTGCGAAATAACGAACGCATCGTCTTCTGGTTTCGCCTCGAGACAGGCAAGAATCTGTGTGGCCTCTTCCTCCCGCCCATGTGACATAAGCCACCGGGGCGACTCGGGCAGCCATGGAACAGTGGCGAATAGCGCGATGATGAAGACGAATTGGAAGGCGAGAGGGAACCTCCACGCGACAGCACCGCCTGCGTATGACAACCCAAAGTTGATCCAGTTGCAGAGGGAGAACCCGACAATGTTCATCATCATCTCAAACATGACTAGCTTCCCACGCCAGTGAGCGGGAGCTGTCTCTGTTTGCCAAATCGGGGCGGTAGCCGTGTTAACTCCGTTGCCGATTCTGTTGTGTAGACATGAGCATGATTCTGCCTCGTCATGGAACGAGCGAGGGCATTAGCTGATACTCACCCTAGTACAATGCGCCCAACAAACATCTGGGCCAAGCTATGAGACGATGCCATCAAGATGGCGCCAATGCTCATGATCGCGGTACCGATGAGGATGGACTTCGTTCGACCCAGTGATTCCCCAATAGTGAATGCCAAAATCGCTCCGACGAAACAGCCGATGTCGTATATTGCTGTTATTGTAGATAGCATACGGGTCTTCTCCGGGCCGACAAGGTCATGGAGCTCGAGAAAATCGTCAGTCACAATGACGCCGCTGAAGACTTTGCTTGTGTTAGCATACGGCTCAGACGTCAGTAAAATCGCTTACCTGCTTGGTCATAGCCGAACATGAGCATGTCTACACTGCATGCAAATGTGATCCAGTAAGTAAGCCATTTCCCCTTGAGCCCAAAATATGGCGCTTTGGCTACAGCGGTGGCCATCTTCATTGCATGTGAAGTGGTTGTCCAGGGGCTAGTGAGATCTCGTATCAAATCCGTTCGTGATCAATACACAGGTATCCAAGTCTCCCAGCAAGTTTGATATGAATTGGAATTTATTGAAGGTGCATCCAGGTATTAGGACTGATCCTCGGATTACATGACCCGGGGGAACGGCTGACAAGGGTGTAAGATGTGGTCCGATTTCCTCCCCGTGGGGTTACGAGATCTGCGTTACTGGGAGTCTAGAGTAATTGTATGCCCAGATGTATATGATATCCTATTGGCACCGGTTAAATGGGGTTGGGAAGATCGGGGTAATCATTTCCTGGTCCCCAGATTCACTCGATTATGATCAAGATGATTCCACCTGTTTTCCACATTCGATCACTCTCCCCATAATCATTCAAACTTGGCGTAATGAACGAGGTCGAAGGTTTTCAAGAGGAAATGGAAAGCAAAAGTTTTTTCACTCAAGACTGAAGGTAAAGTTGAGCCATCTGAGATGCCGAGAGCTGATGCGCGACATTGATCATGCACGGGAGGCCGAAATTGTTTGTGGTCACTGTGCCAAGGAAGAGGGGTATTGCATCTCCTGACCACCATGCAGCCCAAGGGTGCCATAAGAGTCCAGTGAGGAAGGATTAATTTCGGATTTTCTACTTTATGCCATGAGATTCTCCCTTCTACAAGCTTCGGTCGCAGTTAAACACTCTTTACATGTAACGGAAAATACTCATGATAAATGCTGCCATCTATAGAAAAAGGTCGTTGATTATCTGAGCTCTATCTTCTCTTAGCTTGACGTAAGGTAATTAGAGTCAGGCATCACAAAATTGTCGCTTGGTCAAAGCTAACAGCCTTCGTTCATGTATCCATTGTGCCAGTATATAAGCAGACAGGCAGGAAAGCAGGTACGTCGCCACTGCGAGTCGAATACCATCCAGAACTTAGAAACCACACGATTGGCAATTTCAGTAATACAGACCTTTTTAGCAGTCGGAAGAGTGGAAAGAAAAGTTCCATTGAAACTACCTTGAGATCAATAAAACTTTGTGTCATGCGCGCCATGTCCACAAACGCTGTTGGACTCCACCAACCTTACACGGCACACTAAGGTTCCAAAGTCAATTTTGAGTGAGGCCGCAACCTTTTGGATCTTAATTGCGAGAGTTTCTTCAAACTTTGGCAACCATCGTAGGCTGTGGAAACACATATAGTCGAGAGCTCTACTGCCTAAAACTTGAAGAGTGCCAAATTCTTCCAAACCTCCGTCTGTCTCAAAACTCTCCCCCGCCTACAGCGATCAAAAGTCGATAACCCCCCCCCCCCCCAATACCAAATTTACATCAGAAATCATCTCTCATACTAGGCATGGATCCCGCACAAACCTTTGGCAATCCGGCAGCCACCAATGCATCAGATACTGTCTCTCTTGCAGTAGACAGGAAACATCCTCTAGTAACCATCACGAGCCTACCAGACGAGGTCCATCACTTGGTAGCTCCAAATGCCTACGAGCATTGCACAGGTTGTCTCACCAACCCAGACCAACCAAGCCACATCAATAGCGCCGAGCTTTTCAATCCCTGTCTTGTTGACACTCACTGGCGAGATATTGCAACTCCGTACCTCTATCCTTTCTGCGTCCTGCGTCAGAAAGCGCTTTTGCTCGTGTACACGCTCTTTGAACGTCCCGATCTCGCCAAACACATCAAGTCATTCTCTTTCAGAGAAGTCCAACCTTAGGCAATGGAAATCCCAAAGTTCCGCCGTCCGAGAAGTCTTGAAAATTTTACGAACCAAGCCTCTCTTGGCACCTATGCACTGAAGCCGGTGGTAGAATTCAGCACAAGGTTGTGGGGCATGCATTTCCTCCGAGGGACAGCTATGTGGCACCAGTGGTTGATGCTGCAAAAACCAGCCCTAGAAATAGTATCAGTATACCATCAACACCAACTACATTCTCCTGAGTACCCAGAAATCGAGAGATTGATTTTTATGGGAATTCGGCGCAACATGGACATTCCCACGATGCTGATGTTCGACAGCCCTTCATATGTCCCTCGTCAAGTTTACCCGCATACAACCGGCTGCTACGGACGCTACGGGCCCCCCGGATGGCCTTTCGACGATAGTCGCAGCTTGCGTGATCTTGCAATCGAACGCATGTTCATACGCTGTGGCGGCATGGAAGGAATACAGCATATTAGCCACGGCCACATGGATTGGGTGGCGTGCCAAAACCTGAATGACTCTTGCGTGAGCTATACAATGGTAATGACCTGGTATGATCGCTTCCATCTTCCTCGCGATGCTTATCTCTTCGGGGTGGCTTCCGAGCCGTTTTCTTAGTCTACAATGTACAAGGACTGCTAGAACGTATCAAAAGAGGAGAGCTTCCCCAGTTTCGTGCCTTACACATCATCACCGAAACCAACGCGGTAGAAATGAGTCCTGAGGAGCTGGTGATCAGACGACAACTAGAGGATTTGGGAGTGGAGCTCAAGTTTTATGAGCAAGACATACTGCACGGTGTGGATTACGCGATCCTGGAAGATGAAGGCTGGATAGTAAATGATAAGATTGGAGGTTCGCTTGACTTTCAATTCTCGTCCAAGGAAACATCGTCTCGAGTCTTTGAGCCCCGAGAGATCGCACGTTATCGAAGCTGTGCACTATTCGAGAACATAGTATGGTACTTTATTTGTTTTTAATAAGCAGGTATCTACAGATCATCTCAATAAGTTCAAATTATTGTCAGATGGTGAATGAACATTTTAGGTGCCTAGTGATTTCACATGGCATCGCTCAGCCTGGCTCGGTAAATGTTACTGTTTCCGACCTCCTCTACATTGCTCCTCAGTCACTCCTTTCCCAGAGAACATTGCTCTAGAAAGCAGCAAGACCACCGAGAGCAAGCATGCCAAGGGCACCCATAGAAGCCAGAGCAGGAGCAGCACCAGCCTGAGAAGCAGTGGTAGCCGCGGCAGCCGTGCTGCTAGCGCCGGCAGTCGGTGTGGCGGTGATCGAGACAGAGGCAGTCGCGTTAGAAGCAGCAGTCGATGCAGAAGCGGCGGCAGATGACAGAGATGCGATAGCAGAAGAAATGACGGCGGAGGCGGAGGCGGAGGCAGAGTCGACGGGAGGAGCGGAGGCGCCGCCGGTGACCTCGCGGCAGAACTTGCCGGCGGCGGGAAGGAGCTGACCTGTTGTTGAGAGCAAGTGTCAGTCATGGTGTTGAGGCTGTTGCCTGCAAGATTGAAGACGTGGAGCCTGGTAGATGTGCAAAACAGAAAAGGACTAAAGTGAAGTTGACGTACCAATAGCAACGTCAGAGCCGCAGGCTTGAAGGACGCAGTTGACGCCGACGGCGTAGATGCTGCGATAGTTGTCCGCCTCGCAGATGCAGGCAGAGTCGTCAATGCTGCTGCACTTGGTGCCGTCCTTTACGGCCTTTGTGAGGCACTCGATGGAGCACTTGGGGACGACGTCTGTGAACTTTTGTTGGGCCACGGCAAGGCCGGCGGTAGCCAGGAGGACGTATGAGCACTTCATCTTGAGGACTGTGATGAGGTTTACGGCTTTTCAGACGACACAAGAGACAGACTTTTTGGTGATGCTAACCAAGGAATTAGGAGACGAGTGATGGGCGCGGAAAAGAGAAAGGAAATCTCATCACGTCTAGCTCTTGCCGGAGGTACATACGATGTTATATATGTACAAACACATAGGGCCTTCCAAGTCTATGGCTACCTTGGAGGGCAGGCCATGTTTCTGGGCAATGTTAGAGTCAGGCTTCTGCATGTGGCGTCCGCACGCGAGGTAGTTCGACCCTCCCTCACTCCATTACCAGCGTTATTAGAATAAGGCGTTCGTGTTGAGTGATCCGATGGTGCATCCGAAGCCAGGGTCGGTTAGATGGTCCGGCCAACTTGACAAGGGGTTGTACCTCTATGCATGGCAGCCATGCCAGATCAGGATGCTCGGTTAGAGCTCTCTCGCTTCGTTCGGGTCGCGTCCAGGGCCTTTTTGACGGCGAGGTGGAGAGGGGGACGCTAGCTTGGCCGTTGGTGAGAAGTGTCATTGGCTGGAGGGGAGTGAAGAGATTGATAAAGGTTGCAGAGGAGGCGTGGAGTAGGGGACGAAGAAAGTTATCTGATCCATCAGATAAGATTGGATGGCGTCGGCGGTCTCGGTAGGCCTAGGCAAGTTTTCAGCTTTGGCCCTGGTGTGCTCCAGTTACACCAGGTTAGTCCCAGTCCCTCATGGATTCCCCTGCCCTTGCTCGGTACGTGTTCCGATCAGTGAGCGCTTTTCCATCTCGTTGGTCATATTGACGATGTTGGTCCATGGTAGGCAAGGAACTTTTGCTCAGCCCGAGGATGAGCTCGGGAAGACATGTGAAGGGCTTTCAGCGTGGTCAATCGTGTGTGTCTCCGCTCCCTACAACTTAATGCAAAGCCACTATAGGTTGTACCTCGATTCGCAGTGAGTCAGGTTGATCAAGTGAAATCATTGCATTTTTTTTTCTCTCGCTACATGATGGTCTATAGCTTGCGATAGTATCCAAACGGATGTGATTCTTGGGCAACTTGAAGTTCTCGTAACTGGAGAAAAAACAGGCTAGTTCGGTCTTCGGCGATGACAACATGCCAGCAAAGCGGAGAATCAACAGGGGTCGCGATGTGCGCCAGGTTCATGAGCTTGACGTGACGAGGTCCAGTAATAAAAATGTAGGCTCGACCGATTTGCTCCAATTCGGACGACAGCACGTGGACGGTGGATGAATGGAAGCACAAGGTATTACGGACGAACTTGGGCATATCATCAGCGAGAGTTGAACTTTTGGTCATTAACTTGTACCTTTACGAGAGGTAATTAATAGGCGCTTGTGCTGGCTGGTCGCCTGTCAAAGTCTCTGATTGATGATCAAGCTAAGGTGCTCTGAGTACCTTAGGAAGCAGAAGAAGAGTTTTTGGTTGAAGAGTCCTTATATGATGAGAATTGGCCTTGAGCAAGCTGGGTTTAGCGAGTAATAGGCGCGCAAGGGAGCGAATTGATTGAGAAGAATTCTTCCTTTAGAGAGATTCCTAAAGTGTGGCTAGAGACACACGATGTGGCTGAAATGTCATGTAATCTGTGGCTATAACTTTGTGGCTGACCTATCATCAGCCACATGACGGAGTATCGTCCGGCGTTGCCTGATTCTTCCACTCCGGACGATTCCGTCCCGTTGAGCCGGCGATTGGTGCACCATTGCCGCGGTACGTACTCACCGAGTCCCGACGAGTGGCCGATAACGCAATCGTTTTAGAGCACACACCTTCGGCGGGCAACAGCAATTGACCAAATGGAAAGAACCTTGCCCTGCTGCTGACCTGCGGGAAAGAGTCATCGCAGCGAGGGAAGCAGCAGAGAAGTGGGCCCGTCGTCACGTTGGCCGGCAGACCTGGAACCCCGCCAAAGCAAAACCTGCCCCTCCATGGCCGATTTTTAAACCCCGCGTCTTCCCCTTCTGATTGTTTTTGTGAAGTTATCGCAGACCGACGTTGCGATCGCAGCAACCCATACTTTGGACAATTCGCTAAACAAGTTGCTTGTTGCTATACACACATTCTCTCATTCTCTCGCACATTTCAATCCATACCGGACGCCATGGCTACGATTGATATCGTTCTCGGCGCCCAGTGGGGGTAAGCTGTCAACATTCTCGCCGCCCAAATTTGCTCTACCTTTTTGCTCTACACATACATGCGTCTTCTCACCTCACAATATCCCGCTTCTCTCCTTTGTCTATCTTGTGCTATTGCACACTGGTTACATTTCTCAATCTCCGGCCAGCAGAGTGATACATGACAGACAGGGACCTCAAGGGTGTACACGTATCGGCCGTGTATGCGTATGCTCTCGATGGATCGCGACACATCGACAAACATTCACCTCTGCTGCGCCATTGAAGACCTGCCGCAGAACTACGAACTAACATATCGCGCTCAAATAGTGACGAGGGTAAGGGAAAGCTGGTCGACGTGTAAGCTATGCCCATTAACGCCCCCGGGCCCCTCTTCTGACATCCGCGATATAGCCTCGGACAAGACGCGCAGATTTGCGCCAGAGCTCAGGTTGGGTTTTTGGTACCTTTTGGATAATCAATGGCATGCTGATGGCCCTAGGGCGGACACAATGGTAGGAGTCACTCCAACTCCCGAAGCCATCGCGACGTGTAGTATCTAACTCGACCTCCAACAGCCGGTCACACCGTCATCGTCGATGGCGTCAGCTATGACTTCCGTACGTGTTTATGTCCTCGCAACGCTCCTTTGACCCCCTTATGCTGATCATCACCATCTACAGACCTTCTTCCCTCTGGTCTCCTGCACCAAAAGTGCATCAGCCTCATCGGATCCGGCGCCGTCGTCCACGTCCCGACCTTTTTCAAGGAGATGGCTGATCTCGAGGCCAAGGGCCTGAAGAACATCCGCGAGCGCCTCTTGGTGTCCGATCGCTGCCACATCATCACCGACTGCCACATCCAGGTCGATGGGTTGGAGGAGCAGGAGCTTGGCGGCAACAGCATCGGCACCACCAAGCGCGGTATTGGCCCGACCTACAGCACCATGGCTGCCCGCAACGGTATCACCATCAGCGAGATGTTCGACGAGGAGCTCTTTGAGCACAAGCTTCGCCAGCTCGCTCAGGGTTTCAAGAAGCGCTTCGGCGACCTTCTTGTCTACGACGTTGAGGACGAGATCAAGCGCTTCAAGCAGTACAGAGAGGACCTCCGCGTAAGTTTCCTCGCGACGTTGAAATGCCGTATTGGTGACTAACATGCCTCCATAGACCTTTGTTGTCGATGCTGTCCCCATCATCGCCGACGCTCAGAGGAACGGGAACAAGATCCTCGTTGAGGGTGCTCAAGCTGTCATGCTTGACTTGAGTACGTGAATACTATAGCATATTGATTATGGATGCCTTGCTAATCTTGATAGACTTCGGTACTTACCCCTACGTTACATCATCCAACACTGGCCTCGGCGGTGTCTTCACTGGTGTAAGTTGAAGTAATCCTTGAATGAACAGACCAGTGCCCTGACATGTCACTAGCTCGGCCTCAACCCCAGAAAGATTAACAACGTCGTCGGTGTCGTCAAGTCCTACACCACCCGTGTCGGTGGTGGCGGTTTCCCCACGGAACTGCTCAACGAGACGGGCGAGAAGCTCCAGAAGATTGGCCACGAAATCGGTGTTTCCACCGGCCGCTCTCGCCGCTGCGGCTGGCTCGACCTGGTCGTCATCAAGTACTCGCACGACCTGAACCACTACACCGCTCTCAACCTTACCAAGCTCGACATCCTCGATACCTTCCCCACCATCAAGGTCGCCGTCGGCTACAAGAACAAGCACACCGGCGAGGAGTTCCCCTCCTTCCCTGCCAACATCAGGGCCCTTGATGACGCTGAGGTGGTGTACGAGGAGCTCGAGGGCTGGAACACGCCCACGACGGGCGCCAAGACGTACTATGACCTGCCCAAGCAGGCTCGCGCGTACGTTGAGTTCATTGAGAAGTTTGTTGGTGTCAAGGTTGTCTGGATCGGCACTGGCCCTAAGAGAGAGGACCTTATCTTCCGTGGATACTAGATCCAGGTGTCCCTGTGCTTTAGGAGGAAAATGAACCCAGAGGGGTTACGACATAAAAGATGAGACGTTGAGTCTC